AGGAAGCCCGATGCGGGACTCGATCCCAGGACCCTGGGATCATGACCTGAGCCGAAGGCAGACGCTTAACCATCTGAGCCACCCAGGCGCCCCATAGTGATATTTATATTTTCATATACTTTTGGCAGACCTGAAGAACAAATTTAACTCTCCTTTCTGCTTTACAGTTTTGATACTAATATGTAAGTCTGTTAAAGCGTTCTTAATTTTATAAGGCTTTTACCCCTGGTAAAAAGTAATAATATCTTTGAAAAGAAGAGTGTTTTACTGTTTGCATACTATGTTTTCTTATTTTAAATGTTTATGAAAATCATTTAAAAGTCAGGAAGCCCCAGATACATACAACTTGATCTTACTTAATTTGAAAAGTACAAACCATTAGTTTCCTGTGTGAAATTATGCAGATGTTGCATTGACTGTTTTCTAGTAAGTTATCTTTTTTTTTTATCTGCAGAGAAAAGGGTGTTTTTATTTTATTTTGTATTGTTTATAAGAGAATGGATTTGTTGGATTAATTTCCTGCCCCCTCCCTTTTTATTTCTGCCCTAATGTGGAAAGTATTTTCCCCATGAACTGAACTACACAACAGCATGTCTGCCATTTAACTGTATTGTGAAAAATAAACAAATCAAAATGTTTTGTTTTGTTAATTTTAATGAATTTTCTCTTGCTCAGGAAAGGCAAGAAAATGTGCAGAAAATAATCTTAGAAGGCACAGAAAGAATGGAAGATCAGGTAAGATACAGACTACATACTATCAAACACCACCAACCTCATGACATGCATCTGTATAAGGCTGAGGGCTACTTTTCTTAAGGCCTTGAAGCCGTACCGTACTATTTTGACAGAGTGAGAATGAAAATGAACAGAGCCTTTACGGAAATATATGGAATAAATTGAATGAAAATTTCCATATCTTAGACCTGAAGAGTTAAATAAGTGAAGAATAATAGCTATTTTGCTACCTTTTTTTTTTTTTTCTGTTTGCACAGACTAAGTTTTGAATAACTTGTTCATGGTAAAAATTTTAAGTTTTATATGAGATTTTCTTTAAGGTATTGCTCTGGGCGCCTGGGTGGCTCAGTTGGTTAAGCGACTGCCCTTGGCTCAGGTCATGATCCTGGAGTCCCTGGATCCAGTCCCGCATCGGGCTCCCTGCTCAGCAGGGAGTCTCCTTTCCCTCTGACCCTCCCCCCTCTCATGTGCTGTCTCTCTCATTCTCTCTTTGTCAAATAAATAAATAAATAAAAATCTTTAAAAAAAAAAAAAAAGGTATTGCTTCTTAAACATTTCCCCAGAAGTAGTTATAACAGGAGAGAAGTGAGTATACCCCTCTAAGATATCTAAGATTAGTTCTAAGCATAATATTTATTTGAAGTCTCATGCTGTATTTTTAACACTCATGCAAATTATATTTTATTTCCTATCTATTTAATATTCAAATTTGCCGGTGATAGTCCTCACATTTCTGATTATATGAAGTCTGTAGGGAAACATGGCATGGTTATCCCATGTCTTTGAATCTGCCTAGGGCACAGGCACCAGCATTTGAGACGCATGATTGCATGGATATGGTTTCCCTTGTGGAAGTTAAATGTAAACCATTTCAGTGCAGGGCAGAGATGTTCTGAAGGGGAATCTCCAAGGGAGAAAGGGTTCTTTGCTTTTACTCCCATTACCTCTGGCCACTCTCAGTGTTCCTTGTGTTGAACTCTAGTCTAAGGATGACTGGGTTGTCTTTACTCTGGTTCTCCTTTAGCGTGCCTAAGACAAAATAGTACTTTAAACAATAACTTTTCTAAAAATTTGTGAATATACAGGACTTAAACCAGGAAAATAGAAAACCCTATAAAATGATCTCCTTTACAAAATTGTTACTATATCTGTATTTTTGCAAATAACTCTCCAGGCCAGAGGAGGTAATCCTGGGGAAAGGTCTAACACTTACAAGAAAATGTTTCCCTTTACCCAGAGAAGCTTGGCCTTTACTTGGTGGTCAATGGGCAGAGTGCAAGCATTGGGGAGACTTTTACCAACCTCTAGATGTACCTACTAGTTATGGAGTAGTTAGTAGAGTTACCTCAAGATAAAGAAATTTAAGACCCAATAAAATTCTGCTTTTCCTGGGATTTTTTTTTTTTTCCAAACCAGAAACCTGTACTTAAAAAGTTTACCACTATTAACTTTTAATTTATTTCTGTTTTAAGGGCTCTTCTTGAAAATGTTATCCTCTTCCTTCTGTACATTTAGACAAACTGGATGTTTTTAAAGGGGAAACATTCTCCTGCTAAGAAGTTCAAGTTAGAGAAGTCACAGGAGGAAAAGATACTTGAGGGATTTTCTTTTGAGTTTCTTCTGTGTTCAGGCTTGTACGAT